GCTCCTCCCTCTCCGTTCTCCCAGACCAGCGCGCCCACCTGGCCATGCCTCCTGGTGCTAAAGGTCGCAGGGGCCTCCCACCTCCTGCTGCAGGGGCCCTGACCCCAGTGGGTCACAGGCAAAGATGGACGCTCTTGACCCCTGCAGGCCCGTGACCCTCGGAAACTCCTAAGGGCTGGGTCTGGCCCTCCTCGCAGGCCCGTCGAAGTCGGTTCATGTTGTTTCGGGGGCGCGTGGACCCTTGAGTCTCTCCATGGGCCCTCGATCGGAAACCCCTTTACTCTCTCCTCCTCTGTCTCCCTCTCCATGCAGACATGCCTACCGGGGCAGGTTCTGGGCTGCACACTGACCCGGACCTGGGACAGCCCCTCAGACAGGGCTTGAGACCCCTAGGGAGACAGCCAATGCCCGGTTACAGTGCCGACGAGGGGTCTGAGCATTGCCCCATGGAAGGTGGGGTGCCTCAGAGCTCATGGGAGTAAGCCACTGGTCCTCTGAGGCAGGACACCCAGGAGGGCTTCCTGGAGGAGGCGACTCCTGGCAGGCCTCCAGACATGGTCACGGTTACAGTTTGGCCAGCTTTCAGGCCACGGGAGTCCAAGGGTGAAAGGGACACTGCCCTGCTTCATGGGCCCACAGGTTTGGAGGGGAAGGCAAGGCTGCCCAGCCGTGATTCATTAAGACATCGTCACGCCCAGGCTCCCCACAAGCACGCTGGGTGGTCGACATACGTACGTACAAAAGAGCACCTAGGACCGGCTCCCGAATTTGTGAGGCCCATGTTGAAAGTTTGAAGAAATTAAAAAAGGTGACAGCAGCCCAGTGTGCGGTCTTCTGAGCACGGGGCCTTGAGACGGCCCAGGCTGCACACCTGTGACAGGTGAGTGCCGGGCAGGCCTGCTCTGGGCCCAGGCCAGAGCCCACGTCTTTCTAACTCCAGGCAAGAGGGCTCCCACAGCTCAGCACTCTCCGCATAGGATCGGAGCCTAGCCCTTCAAACACGGCTCAGGAAAAGCTGGGGGGGGGGGTCCCCTGTGGCTCCACACCCAGGCTGCCCTGGCGGCTGGACAGTGGGGCTACGGGCCAGACACCTCGCACCCTTTGAGGCAGTCGGCTGGGGCTGCTGCGACAGCATCCCAGACTGGGCAGCTCAAACAGCCAACGCTTATTTCTCCCGGTTCCAGAGCTGGCAGAGCCGAGACTAGGGTGCCAACACGGCCAGGGTCCGGGGGGCTCCTCCTGGTTACGTTCTCACCGGCCTTCCGTGGGGCGTGTGCGCAGGGAAGAAGGTTCACTCCCATCTCTTCTTATAAGGGCACTAATCCCATCGCGGGGGCCCCACCTTCCTGACCTGACTACCTTCCAAAGGCCCCGCCTTCCAACTATCCCTCGGGGGTTAGGGCTTCCACGTGGGTTTTGGAGGGGCCCCAACATGCAGTCCACGACACCCTTCCTGGTGGTGGCAGGTGGAGAGCGTGGTGGAGTGGCCTGCCCTGGTCTTCATGAACATGTGCACGCAGAAACATGTGCACATACAAATACGCAGCGTTTGTGCACATACAAACACACAGCGTTCAGGCACATACAAACACACAGCGTCCGTGCACATACAAACACGCAGCGTTCGTGCACATACAAACACGCACCGTCCGTGCACATACAAACACGCAGCGTTCAGGCACATACAAACACACAGCGTCCGTGCACATATAAACACGCAGCGTTCGTGCACATACAAACACGCAGCGTCCGTGCACATACAAACACGCAGCGTCCGTGCACATACAAACACACAGCGTCCGTGCACATACAAACACACAGCGTTCGTGCACATACAAACACGCAGTGTTCAGGCACATACAAACGCGCAGCGTCCGTGCACATACAAACACACAGCGTTTGTGCACATACAAACACGCAGCGTTCGTGCACATACAAACACGCACCGTCCGTGCACATACAAACACGCAGCGTTCAGGCACATACAAACACGCAGCGTTCAGGCAAATACAAACACACAGCGTTCAGGCACATACAAACATGCAGCGTTTGTGCACATACAAACACGCAGCATTCAGGCAAATACAAACACACAGCGTTCAGGCACATACAAACACGCAGCGTTCAGGCACATACAAACATGCAGCGTTTGTGCACATACAAACACGCAGCATTCAGGCACATACAAACACGCAGCGTCCGTGCACATACAAACACGCAGCGTCCGTGCACATACAAACATGCAGCATTCATGCACATACAAACACGCAGCATTCAGGCACATACAAACACGCAGCGTTCGTGCACATACAAACACGCACCGTCCATGCACATACAAACATGCAGCATTCATGCACATACAAACACGCAGCGTTCAGGCAAATACAAACACACAGCGTTCAGGCACATGCACACTGGGGCCCAGTTTTTCCTGACTTTGCTCTCTGTCCAATCTCTGCGTCAAACTTCAGGTCAGGTAAGTAAATTAATCTGATGTTTCCACATCTCTGACTTAGAACCCGCCTTCCAGAGTTCATTCACATGGAAGCGTGTGCACACACGTTCACATGTGCATTCAGCTACCCTTCCAGAGGCGCTGATGGGCACCTGCTGTGAGTCCGATCCCATGCTGGGCTCCGTGCCCCGGATGCCTCGTGGTCCTCCCCTTCTCTGTATGCATCTCCCATGCTGCCGTGGGATCCATGGGGAGAGAGTGCGGACCTTGTTGCCAGCTCTAGTCAAAGCACCTGGCGTGGTACACGGCACTCAGTGGTTGGTTGCTGGCTGAATGAAAATGAAGAAGAGTCTATAAATACAAGCATGTACTGTTCTGCAAATAATTAAACAAAATTAATAAGTCTACTGTATCAAGTTTCCTCTTATTTAAAAAAATATTTTTATTGTTTTTTTACAGAGAGGAAGGGAAAGGGTGAGAGAGTTAAAAACATCAATCAGCTGCCTCCTGCACACCCCCTACTGGGGATGTGCCTACAACCAAGGTACATGCCCTTGACCGGAATGGAACATGGGACCCTTGAGTCCGCAGGCAGATGCTCTATCCACTGAGCTACACCTGCTAGGGCTCAAGCTTCTTCTAAAAACGTGATTCCATCCTCCAGACAATACTTGAGCTGGGTGTTAGTAGAAGCTCCTTGTTTTAAGTCAGGTGCCCAAGCTTCTGCAGCTGGCACCCAGCACAGCTGGATTCGCCTCTGCTCCATCCTGTGGCCACAGCAGCAAAACCCAGCGGGGCGGGGGTAGGCAGCAAGGAACCCCGGGGAGTGCCAGGTGCCACTGCGGCCTTGTATGTGGACACCCCTGATGTTCTTATTAATCCTTCATGGAAGCATCACACACACCCCTATATCCTGCACCCAGATCAAGAAACTGAAGCTTACCAGCACCCTAGACACTTCCTTGCCGTCCCCGTCCTGGCCTGGCCCGGCCCCCTCCCTCCACCGTTCACCACGCTCCCGACTTGCACAGCCATACATAGCGCTCCACCACTCTCTATCCGCGCCACCGGACAGGCGGTGGGGTCTGGCTTTCTTTCTTTCCTCAGCACCATTTGTACGAGTCAGCCGTATCCCCGTGTGTGGGAGCAGATTATTCATCCCATTGTTGCCGTTCTATTGCGTGACTGTAACCCAGTTTATGTATGTATCTGTTCTATCATGGAGAGGCATTTTGGGTAGTCTCCCGTTTTTGTTTATCGCAATGTGCTGCGATGAACATAAATGTGATCAGATAAGAGGTGCACCTGGGACAGAATGCCAGGTCAAAGGGTTTGCCCTCGGTTCCCAGGCGGCTGCATCCCTTGGCGCCCCTGCCCGCACTGTCTGAGAGTTCCGGTTGCTCCACTTGGGCGCCAGCACTTGCTGTTGTCAGGTTTCCCCATTCTAACTGCGTGGAGGCGGGGCCACACCCTTTGGGCTCAATCAGGTCAGCAACCCGACGGTCCCTGGGTGCCCATGAGGACACACGGGCTCCGAGAGGTGAGGTCCTGGCAGGCTGCAGGGCTGTCTGACCTCAGCCCATTCTATCACGTTTCTCTGTCAAGCTGCCTCCTCAGACCTTGGCCCCAGGGTCCTGGGAATTATAGACAGTCTGCTTGCAGGGGGACTGGATGGATGTCCCTGGCGTGGGTCAGGCTGCGAGTCCTGCCAGCCCTCCAGGAAGCCCCGGCGTGGGAGGAGAGTTGGGAGGGAAGGTGGCCCTCAGCGAAGGATTTGACCTGGGTGGGGAGGCCTAGAGAGTTTGCCGCTGCACCTGGGGAGAGGTGTGTGCGAGTGCGTGTGTGCGTGTGTGTGTGTGTGTGTGTGTGTGTGTGTGTGTGTGAGTGTGTGTGTGGTGGTGGTGGTGATGGCGATGGCGATGGCGATGGTGATGGAAGGAAGGTGTCTGCAGCGCGGCCAGGCCGGTGAGGCTCCCTGGGTCCCTCTGGGAGGGGGGGGGGGGAGGTTTGGGGACAGGCAGGCATCCAGGTGAGCAGGGGAGGGGCGGGGCTGCGGGGTTTTCCCTCCCTGCCCTCCTCCCATCCTCCCCTCCCTCCCTCCCGCAGGCACCGAGCGGGGTGGGCGGGATTCTAGGCCGGGGCTCCTGGGAGGGCGGGGCTGGGGCCTGGAGAAGCCCGGGCTGGGGGCGCGCGGGACTGGGCTCCGGGGAGGAGGGAGGTGGGAGGTGGGAGGTGGGGGCGGGGCCTCGGTGAGGGGCGGGGATAATATGTGGGCGGGGCTACAGGCGGCCAATGGGCGCGCGCGCCCCGGGCCCCGCCCCGCCCCCCGCGGCGGCTGCTGCATAGTCATGAGCGCAGGCCGCGCTGCGTCAGCGGAAGCGGCGCGCGGCGGCTGTTTCCGACCCGATAAAGCGGCGTTGTCCCGGCGCGCCGGCCGCACTCTGCAGCGCTCTCCGCGCCCGCGTCCCGCCGCCGCCGCCCGCCCAGGAGCAGCCGCCGCGGCCGCCTCCGCGCCGCTCCGCCCGGGGCCCGCGCCCCCGCCGCCCCCGCCGCCCGGCCGGCCCGGCCGCCGGAGACAGGTGAGCGGCCGCCGCCGGGCCAGGCCCGCACCTGGGGCCCCGCACCTGGGCGCCCGCACCTGCCGCCCCCGCCCCGCCCCGCACGGCCGCGGCCCGGCCCCCGGCCCGGGCATCGCCTCCTGGGGAGGACGCCCCACGCCCCGCCCGGACGTCGCCTCCCGCTCCGCTCCCGCTGGGACGCCCGCCCGCACCCTTGACCCCTCCCGCCTCTCCCGCTGCACCTGCCCCTCCTCGTCCCCGTCCCGGCGGCCTCCCGGGCGTCCCGGGCCCGCTCCGAGGGGTGCACCTTCCCCGGACCCTGCCGCGCCGCACCCCTGCCCTGGCACCCCGCCCCGGCCCCTCGGCTCTCTGCTCCCGGGGAAGCCCGGCCGCTCGCCCCGGGGCCACGACCTTGCCCTGCCTCCTCGGCCCCGCACCTCCAACTTCCGAGAGGGCGCCTCTGCCCCTCCGCCGGGCGCCTGCCCGCGGCCCCCGCGCCGCCGGCCGTCTCACCTGCGCCCCCCGGGGCGGCGGCGCCCGTCCTGCGGCCCAGCTCGCCCTGCAGCGGTCCCTTCCGCCCGCCCGCCGGTCTGGTCTGCATCCCAGGCCGGTTCCCCTTTCCCGGCCGCCGACCTCCGAGCGCTAACCCGTTCCTCCCCGGGCGGTGGCCCTGCGGGGAGCGCATGGGGGCGCACGGAGCACATGGGGGGCACACGGAGCACATGGGGGGGGCACGGAGCACAGCCCCGTGGCCTGTGTGCAGTGTTTCTATTGTAGAAGGTTGGGCAGGGGGTCCTAGGGAGGGTTGTTTTTTTCCTCTGATGCCTCAGCGGAGCTGCAGGGGCCTGTGGTTTCTGGTTCTCGGGGTGTCTCCTGGCCTAGGGCCTGGGGAGCAGGGGGAGTCTGAGGGTCCGAAGCAGTCGTGGGGCCACGCGTTTGTCAGAACCTAAGCCCGTTTCTACGGGAAAACCCGCTGGCTCTTCCCAGGGTTCTGGGCCCGGGCCCTCACCTTCCTCCTGCGGTGCCGGCAGGCAGGTAGGGTCAGGCCAGCCTTTCCTCTGTTTTGTGCTGGAAGGAGAAAAGGCAAGAAAAGCTGGGGACATGGTCTGCGGATTGAGAAGTGTGACAGCGGTTGGGGTCAGAGACGGTAGCCCCTCACCTCCTTTCCAAGGTGGGCTGGTTTTCTGCTAAACCTGAGCGAGGTGTGGAAGACTCGGTGCGGAGTGCCTGGGAGAGGGGCAGAGTCTGCTGGGAGGTGGAAGGGGCCGCTGGAGTGACCGGCCGGAGGAGCGCTGTGTGTGGAGAGGCTGCCTTCACATCGGGAACTGCAGCCCTGTCGGCTGATGGTTTTTAGGGCAGCAGCTGGACAGGAAAGAGGTGGCTCCTTTGAGGTTTGCGAGGCGTTGGAAACGCATGTGAGCGGGCGGTGTGGAGGGCCCCTGGGGAGGCCGCCCGGCCTGCTCCTGGCTCCCTGGGGCCTGGGGGCGTTCCGGGCCCTGGAGGCAGTGCTGCAGCCATGCCCCCGGTGAGCGGAGGCCGGACTGGGTGAGCTCCCAGGTGGTTTTCGGCTCTTACCATCCTGGCTGTCTCTGCCCTCAGCTTTGCTTCCTGGAGAGGAGGGAGGGGAGAAGGGGTGGAGGGGTCTGGAGGGTCCCAGGCCCTCCAGGTCTGCCCGTGAGGGCGGCTGCGACAGCCGTTGGCTCCTGGCTCTCTCCCATGGGGGAGAGCGGCCAGTGTCTCGGTTGCTGGGTGTGGGGTTGGTGTCAGGGCCGGGGTTGGGGGAAGAGCAGTGGGCTGAGCTGGGGTCCGGGGCTACGCTGTGATTCTCTAATCGGGGTGCCTGCTGTGCCTGTCACTCCTCCTGTGCCCCAGGCCGCAGCCCAGCCCCGGGTCCCCGCAGGGCTGGTTTGTGACTCAGCCTCACGGGCTGGCCCTGAGCGAGGGGACTGGCGAGCGCTGTAGGTGGCAGACAACCCCAAATTACTAGTGCCCTCTTCGGAAACACCCCTGGCAGCGCCCAGCCTGTAATTTGTGGGGCTGGAATGTGCTGGAAGCCGTGTTCCTGCTGCGGACAGGGAGGATGCTGCCCCACGCTGGCCTGGTCTGGTTTCCGGGTTTCTGTGATCACAACAGTACCCGCTGCTGAAGGCGCTCGGCAGCACCCCGTTAGGTGGCTGCCTGGACGCGAAGCCAGGACACCGAGCAGAGGTCTGAGCAGAGAGAAGGGAGAGCCCCCCCGCCGTACCTCCCCCCCCAGGAGAAGAGCAGCCGCTGGGGAAGGGAAGGGAAGGGGTGGGAGAGGACCCTGGAGCTCGGCTCCCGCTGTGCAGGGGGCTCCAGGCCAGGCTGGCCGCCCCTCCCCCGCGGCCCCAGACAAGGCCCCCTTGTTTAGATTAGCTTAATTACCCTCCCCAATCAATGAACAAGGGTCTTTTTAGATGTGGGACTTTCAAAGTGCTGGGCCTTTCTGTTTTTTAAGGTATCAGATGCTGAGCCTTTGTGAAATCAGGCCCCTTCAGGGACCTGGGAGGTGGTGGGCCTTTTAAACGCCACAGGTCCCCGCCTGAGATCCGAGGCCCTGCTGCCCTTCGGTGGGAACTGGGGGCGCTGGCGGGTGTGGGGGCCGAGCAGTGCGCTTTCTCTAAGTGACTCTCAGAGGAGGCATTTTAAGAAGATTAACACTGCTGACCTGGAGGCGACAGCAGAGTCCACGTTCTGCTCTCCTTTTGGGCTGCATCCCCCGGCCCCCTCCGCCAGGCAGCGCAGCACAGCACCGAAGACCCGAGCCGATGCCCCGGGCTGGGGCGGCGCCCGCCGAGTGCTCACCTGGGCTCCGCCATCCCGGCAGGCCGCGGCTTTAAGGCCACCCCGCTGCCTGCAGGGGGCGGCTGCGTCCTCAGAGGCAATAAGCCGGCTCTGCCTGCACTGCTTCCTGAGAGGCTGGGGAAGTGAGCAAGCGCCCCGAGGTACAGAGAAAGGCTGAGTGCGAGTGGCTGTTTGAGGTGAGACAGGGTCACACAGAGTCTGCCCACCCCGCCCCAGGGTACACATGGTGCTGGGCATTGGCCCCCAGGCCCCGCAGGTCCTCAGCAGCTGAGTGGATTTGCAGAGCCTCTCACTCCCCCGAGCTGGCTGCCTGGCCTGCGGCCCAGGTGAGGGAGCCTGGTTCAGCCCTAAGTCCTTGGCGTTTCCGTCCTCCCAAACCTGTCGGAGGGTTCCGCTGGCAGCGAGGGAGCTGCATTCCTGAGCCGGTGCCGAGAGGCGGGGACCTCCACCTGGGCCGCGCGGGAGCCGGGAGCGCTGGAGCCGGCGGGCTTGGTCAGCGACCAGGTTCTGCCCGTTTTGTAGAAAGGACGCTCCTGCCTGTAAAATACAACAGGTGCCGGGGAGGGTGCACCCGCTGCGCCCGCACAGATGCCGCTGACGGCCCAGGCCCGCGGACAGTACACCGCTCCTCGCGGCCAGCAGTTGAGTCATCGTCTCGGGAAAATGCATCGATCCCGAGAGGACGGCTCTGGTGTGGAGCGGAAAGGTGCTCTGCGGGGAGGGCCGGCCCTCAGGCAGGAGGCGGCCGGGCACGGCCGGAGGGGAGCAGCGCTCTGCACGGACGCGGACGCGGCCACTCACAGGTGTGGAGTGACTGGGAACGGGGCTGTTACGCCGACCTCTGAACTCTTCCCTGCTGACTTCCAGCAGCTGTAAAGGCGGTTTCTAGAATATTGTGAATACAGACGTCGAAGTGCATGTCACACGCCTCGCCGTGAAGGGCTGGGGTGGGGCCCCGCACCCTTTAAAGCCTGCTGGGACACGGACCTGCTTCCCTTCTTCCTGGGCTGAGTGCCCGCCTCCTCAGGCGTGTGTCTGAGGCTCTGCTTTCCTGCTGCCGGGAACTGACCACCCCCTTCTCCGGGGCCGGGGCGCTGGCCGCTCAGACCCTGCTGGGTGGGGAGGTGTGACACTCACCCTAAACCCCCACCACCACCCCACCCGGGTCCAGGGGATCTTCTCATCGTCATCAGCACAGACCCGTGGCAGGAGAAGGGTGTCGTGGGTCTGGCTGGCAGGACCTCGCCTCAGCCTGTGCTCTTGGGAAGGGAGGCCTCACCTCCCGGCAGCTCGCGCGGCTGCCGGGTCTGCCCCGACCGCAGCCGTGTGGCCGGTGGGGACCACAGCCGCGTGGCTGCGGGTGGTTTGTGAAGCCCCGGCCACAGCCTGGGGCCGTGGGAACGCTGACCTCCGACCTCACCGGCCGCTGGGAGCCGCCCACACCCGGAGGAGCAGGGGCTGCTGGGCCCTGGGCTCCGGGTGTCTGGCCTCCTGACCCCCGGCACACCTGTCACTGTTAGCAACGCACCAAACAAACAGCTCGGGTGGGTCCCCGGAAGGGCCCTCAACGAGAGGGCCATCGACCTGCCCTGGGTGCCAGCTCCGCCTGTTGCTGGAACATTCCAGGCGAGGAGTGCCTTCGGCTGGTGGGAGGAAGGGATGTGAAGGGCCTTGGGTGGGGCTCGGGGCTGCACTGTGCGCGGAGGTTCGTGGGGACACTCGGTCTGTGTTCCCACACCTGAGGCTCGAGGCAGCCCTGCTGCAGTGCTTCCGCCTGTCCCTGAGCCGGGTGGGTGCGGGTCCGGGGGTCCATGGACCTGGTGCGGCTCCTTGGTCCGGAGGTGAAGCGCCTGCTTCCGGTGTGGCTGGAGGCAGGTGTTTCCCGTGGCTGGTTAGGTGGAAGCCTGAGGAGGGTGCTGCAGCTGTTTAATTAGCCAGGAATGCTGCTGGGAGCGGAGAGGTCTGGGGGGGCGGGCTTGGGGGGCTCTGCTCCTGTGGCCGCTAGGAGGTGACCTGCCTCCAGTTCCAGTGCCGGGAACCATGTCGCCACGAATGTGGACGTGTGTTCGGGGACAGAAATGTCCTCAGACTGAGGAGCCCTTTGCCCCAGGGGTAGGGATGCCAGGAGCTGCCCCCCTTTTTCCCCGGCCGCCAGGGCCTGTGGTTCTCCTGACAGCGCAGGAGGCAGGGCAGGC